CCAGTGACAATGTCTCCCCATAAGTTTCTATGCTGTGCACACAACCTCCACATTTAAAATGAGTATGTGTCTCCCTCCCTTTCATAAAAGGCCCTCTCCACTCACACCCGGACTATACGTGAACACTTACTTTGTTTGGTTTTTGACCTGGACTTTGTCAGTGTCAGTGGGGCCAGACTGAGAAAACTTGAAGGTCTCTCTCTCTCTCCTGTCCTACACATGTCACTGAAGGGCTCTCTCTCTCTCTCTCTCTCTCTCTCTCTCTCTCTCTCTCTCTCTCTCTCTCTCTCTCTCTTTCCTGTCCTACACATGTCACTGAGGGGCTCTCTCTCTCTCCCCCCCTGTCCTATACATGTCACTTACACATATTTCTTTCCTTGCTTTCACCCACAACCTGGGAAAGCATGTACACTTTCTATTTGCTTTCATAGTGTAAGACGGATATTACTACACAAAATTTGAAGATTATAGGAGGACTAAGAGAGAAAGAAGCAGACACATTTTACACAAAGTGATTTGAGTAATTAGCCTTTCATGAATATCACTGCCAGTGAGTAATACCAGTGGTATTCTATCATGGCATCATCCTAGAAGCTCTGTGTCACTGCCCCCCACTCAAGATAAACACTGAAAACAAAGTCACAGTGTTATGTCACTCTCTTTCTACAATGTTCAAAGACTGGACAGATCCATTGTCTGGAATTTTCCATTCACTAGTACCACTACCAGTATTTTTCAGCTGCTGGAAAATGCCAGTGTACGCTACTCTTGAACCATGTCAATAATACAAGTAAGCACCTGATGGTAAAGGCATGGCAAGTGTCCAGAATAAACGTGAATGAATTCAATGATGGCATGAGCCATTTGGTATGCAAGAGGATGACCAACAACCATGAAAGTCATGACCAGACACCTTCTCCACATATACGTATCAACTCATTCAGGCTAACTGGCCAAGAAGATTTATATAACACTCTTTATTACTCCAGAAGTAGGACCTCAAGTTTTTTTATATGTACCTTACTGTTAAAAATCATGTTTATTCATTCAGTCACATATTCAGTCAAGAAACAACCACTTATTGGGTTTTGATACTAAGTGACCACAGTAGTAGATATTGAGAATGACATTATATGTTCTATAAATGACAAAAAGCAATCGAATAACCAAGAATCACACATAACTCAAGAAGTTCCAGAGGCACCAAGAAAGTAAATGATGGGACAGTATTGCTAGCTTTCAGTAGAATACTCACAGAAGGTCTTAAGGGGGTGGCATTTAGTTTGAGAACAGAAGCATAGCAGGAAGTGAGAGAGTTGAAAGGAGGGATAATGAAGAGGATATATGCAGATTTCAAGGGGCCATTGTCTGTGCAAATGCCATAGTCAAGGAAGAACTGGATGTGTCTGCAAAAATGAAAGCACCTCTGGAGCTATATGACATTGGGAAAGGAGCTTGAAGTAACATCATGTAGCATGTACACACAATTAAGATGTGGCATTGTTTCTGAATTGTAGCAGGAAGTCATTATATAGGGAAGCTACCACCCAATCTGATTTATACCTGTAATAGGCATCATTGCTGTGCACTCATACTCTCCACTTACATCCTTGTTGATGCAGAAAAATCAAAACTATTAATCATTGATCACTAACACATGAGACTAGAGAATAAAACCCCCAGCCTCCTCCCTTCCAAGTGGGAGAAACTGAAGCATATTCTGTGTTCAAGCTCTGTGAAAAGACCCTAAAATTTGAAGATGGCCTCCATTTGAGCTGTCTAGTTGGGAAATTGTTGGCACATGTGGCTCTCAAGTTGTTGAATGAGGTAACCACAGTGTGACATACTTCTGCTTAGAATAGTCATTGACTTAAAATTGAGTGTCATGTTGACCTGACCAGCTGCTACCGCATTGAGCAACAGAGGTCTATCCATCCATCCTGAATCCCAAGATCACAGGTGACCAGACCCTTAGTCTGCTCATAACAAGCTTAACTGGTTTGACTTTGATTCTTGACCTATTTCTTTGTTCGCTTACCAATGTCTCAAGTTTATCATTCAAACTCGTTACCCCAAAATCTTTGTGTCAAGATATTCGTATGAAGAGTCCCAAAAGTTGTTTTAAGAAAACCAAATGG